TCCCAGATGATGCAGGGACTCATTTGCTGCCATATATTTTCTTCCCTCCCTCCCCCTCTGACCATAGAAAAAGTCTGGAAAAAACAAATCTCGGGCCACGCTTTCTGTGCAACTAGGATAAGGAAGCATTTCAACCCCAACATTTTCTTGAGATGCGTTCACTTGACATACTCATGTCTCCTGCAGTATTCAGGCAAGTGTCTTGTGCCAGCAGGCTGTGTTCCCTGGGGGCAGTTTGGCTGTGGATGGTGGGCGGTACGGCCCCTTTCTATGCCTGGGAGGAGGCAGCATCCTCCGCTATGTGCCACTGCTGTGAAAAGATCCAGGGAACACAGAGGCTTGGACCAGTTTACACAGTAGGCTGGTGTCTGGAGCTTTTCATACCGAGACACCTACAGAAGAGCTCAAATCATGTATGAATTCTTTGGGTTTGGTTTAGCCCTGTTGTGAATGTAACAAAACCAGTGCAACATCAGCCGTCTCTACTCCAGAAAAGCATTTGTAGTATTAGGAAGGTTGGCTGCCCAGGGCTCCAGCAATAACGTGACTGGGAGGGGGGGCTCAAGGGGAAGAGGGGGCCAGCGTGCCAGTCTGTACAACACATGCTTAAGTCAAGGCCAATAATCCCTCGCTTCCATAAGCGAAACGTTTACTTAAAACTTTTAAGTCATCCGATTAAAATGGAAAAAAGAAAAAAAATGTGCAGCACAGTAGTCATCAGCTAAAATTCTGTATTCCAAGGTAATTAAAGCATGAACAACCTTTTACTATTGACCACAACCCACACTTAACACTTTGCCTTAAAACGCAGAGATTCGAATTTCAGCCACCCCCTTGTAAAATACGGAGCAATGCTGCCAAATTCCCTTCCACGCTCTTCATTTGATGGCAAAGTAACAGAGGTACCATAACGCACTTGATATCATTCTTTTCCTGCTAATGTTTTATTCAGACTGAGCTTCATTAATAAAGATGAAACTTTGGACTCATGATTGCTCCATGTTTACAAAACATCCAGGCTCCTTTACATCTTGGTTAAGCATGAACAATCACTGAACACACAATTTCCTAAAAAAATTCTGCATACCAAAATTGCATATTTTGAATTTTTAAAATTCACTAAACAAAATTTCACAAAGTGAACCCTAAAGTCTGTTTGCCAGGAAAGCACAAGCCAAAAATGGATGTTGGGACCCTCCAGGACAAAAAATGAAGCTGGACCCCAACACACACATCCTTCCATTAAACAAGCAAATAAATAGACATTCATACAGAGTAATTTGCTCTAAAAATGCAGGTGCTTGAGTAATTACCCACAAGTTTTAGTATAATTTTGGTTGCTCAAACAGTGCAGTGTCACACAAAGTTTCATTTGGGGTTGGGGTTTGGTTTTTTTTTTTGGTGGAACTGGGCAGTGACTTCTTACTGCACACTAGAGAACAAAAACTAGCCTAGAACCTGATGATTGTGACAAGTCCAAATGTGTTTTTCCACAGAGAAACATTACAAAGACATGGTTGTTTTTTAAAAAAAAAATTAAATTAAAAAAAAGTTAAGAGGTGTATGTAGCAGTATCACTTTTTAATGCCAGGTATTGGACCAAGGAATGGGACAGACTGCACTGCATTTTTAAAGTAGTATGATTATCGACATACTCAAGAAACGTTTTAACACTGTACATTACAACAAACTATTTAGTTCACTTCTACACAAGTCAGCAAAAAAGCTAGGTGATCCAACATGATATGGCAGCTGCAAATGTAAAATGACAGTCACAGTCTAAAGCCAGAACAAAAACATCTCCAGAACTCCCTATTTATAAAAAGGAATGAACATACACACCGTGCGCGCACACGCAGGCAAAAATCTTGAGGTTTTACTTATTGCTCTTACACAAGGCTGTGAGCAGGCAAATGTCTGGATCAGAAATTAGGTCAAACATGCATTTCAGCAGGCACAAAAAGTACAGGAAATTCATATTAACGAAACAATGTACTGTGTTACGTTATACAGGATGGTATTCTGCTAATATAATACTTACGTCATTAATACCGGATAAAGTCCAGGTCTGCCTGTTGCATAATGTGTTATGCAGTGTGGTATTTTAACCTAATTTCTGATTTCTCTTTCATACTGCACCCTCCACGTAGGGACGAAGAGGATGGTTTTCAAGACAGCCATTCTTTGCAAGGCCAGAGAAACCTCGGCCTCAAGAGCCTCAGTCAGGCAGGTACAGCCGGAAGGAGGTTAACGTTATCGGCACTGCATCTCCACGACCTGCTCTTTGACTGCCTCGTGTTCTTGCGCAGTCATTGACAACTCAGATAAACCAATGCAGAAGCTGGTGCAAAACCGCATCAGCGCTGTTCTCGGAGCATCTTCCAGCTATGCTAGACGCTCCTGTTACACCCAGAAATTGCTACAGGCGATAAGGCAGTAGAGGGTAGAGTCCTGTATCTGGTCACGTTCTCAAGAGTCTCATAAAGGCAAGATTTTTTTTGTGAACTGGCTTTCCTTTACACAATAAGCAGCGTAGCGTGGATGTCAGTAGAAATCTGGCTGCCTACTGGCAACAAGAGACTAGCACATTCACAAGACACAGTTCGGAATACCTGCTGTTCCCTACTGCAACCAAATTGAACATGCTGTGGAGAGGTGTCCATGTAATTACAATACTTGTAAGCCAGATTCAAGGCATACTGCACATGGGCCTTGCACAAAAAAGGCATTGAATGTGTTATCTGAGGATATTTTTTTTTCTGTGCTATGTATACATATGACAGTAGATAAAAATCAGCACAATGGTTCCTCTCCATACATGACCCAACACACACCATAACAATTAAGCACCGTATATGCTATTCTTCAGTTAACAGGAATTAAGGAAGAAAATGGTGGTTTGGGAACACGGAGGGGAAGAAATCCAGCACAAAGATAGAGGTATGTTCCTGACAGAAGTCCTAGCTGAGAACGTTTATTGTGAACCAGCAACTGGATTTTGTGACATAACCAGAAAACCACCGACGTCTACAGGGCCAACTTGGGCACTGCATAGTCAAAATTATTTTCTCCAGTGTTATAATATGGCATTGAGCAATCTAATTAATTATTAGAAAGAGCAGTAGGTAGAGGACAGGAGATCACGCTTCAGGCAGGTTACGCCTTGTACTTGCAAAAAGCAACAGTGCAAATCAATAGATTTTTCTGTCTTATTAAAGGTCTGACATGTGCCCCTTGATCCAATCCCTACATCTCACACAGATTTCAGTTTTCAGACTTGCCAAATACCCAAATTCACACTGAGCTCTATTTTATTTACGAGCAGTACTACTAAAGCTAGTGGGACTGCTTAGAGCGAGGCGCTACTGCAGAGAAGGTTCAGGAATTTGGCTCTTTCCAAGAAGTGAACCACAAATGACCGGGGTTTCATGACACTCACAGGTGGAGGGAGACACTTTCTGTGTTTTTTTCAAATCTGTCCCTATGAACACCAACATCTGTAAGACTGAAATGTGGGAAAAGGCTCCATTATGCTCACCAACATTTTGACACCAGGACAGCCACAGCGGTTTAGGAGTAGCAGCCCAGGGTTAGGCTGGCCTAAGTTCTCCTCCCAGCTATGTCACTGCCTCTTATTAGATGATGGCATATAAGGGCCTTTGGTCTCAGTTGGGATGGTGAGGCTTCCTTAGAGCAAGTCCTCTGTCACACCATCCATGGGTGCAGAGGTGCATTTTCTAGGAAAGAGGGAGGCAAAATAAGTCTAAATTCTTTAAAAACAATTAAGAAAAGCCAACTTCTAGAAAAAGAAAAAGGAGAACAATTTGCTATCACATCCTTGCAGGAAGAGTGCCAGGACTTCTCATGACTCATTTCTTCACTAATGCCTATGCAGGCCAGGTTGTCAGGAAGCCCTGCTGCAAGACTGGAGGTAAAACAGTATGTTCAACGTTTACCATTCAAAGCCATCCTTTGTGTGAAGCTGGTTAGGCAAAAGTGTTTTGGCTGCATTTTTAGGTATTCCTCCTAGCCCGCTTTGCTTCCCTACTTGGAAGCTCCTTCAAATAAAAGATGCTGGAAGTGCCACTTCCCTGTAGCTGAAAAAAATGGGGAAAAACAGAGGCAAAACCACACACACCACAGAACAAAACGATTGCTTGTAAAACGTTTCCTTTTAAAAACTATTGTACATCTGCCTAACTTGGTTTAATTAATGTGCAGTTTAAAATATATAAAATGCCTTACCAGCTAGATGATTTCTTGGTTTTACAAGTCTCCCTCCCCCCTCATTAAAAAATAATTCATGTGTGGACTGATATTGAACATCTTGTACAGAGTCACGTGCCAATTCTCCTTTTAATTCTACATGGAGCAGTTTTGATTTTAATCTACTATGTTTAGAGAAGAGCTCATACTGTATACTTTAAAGTATAACCAGCTACATAGATGTCTTTAATATTGTAACACAATAAAAAAAAAATCACTGTAAGTTGCGGTCCCTTTGATAAACAATTATGGTGATGCATGCAGTCCTCCTCAGTGCCGCTGCCGCCAGACACGGGACGTAATTTTCTCCGCACGCTGCTGAGAGGCCTGACGTCGCACCGGCACACCACTGCCCCGGTGCACAGCGTTCTGCAGTCACTGGGCAAAGCTGCGGTGAATTGTCTCCCTCAGTCCCACCACCACACCACCACCACCAACCCAAC